TAGTCCAGGACGCAGATCAATTTCATGGTCACTAAGTACATAGTCAACACAGAAAGAAATTGTCCTCCCTTCTGTTTCCACCAGGTGAAATGCTGTTTCCTTTTAAGTCATCAAATTGTCTCAGTCTTCTCTTTGCACTTTATTTTTTTTTTGTTGTAGGGTGCATGCGCTGGTCAGAGAGAGACAGAGAGCAAGAGCAAGAAAGAGAGAAAGAGAGAAAGAAGAAAAGTGGGAAATCACCCCGGAGAGGGTATGGCTATGCTGCAATCCCTTCTCCATTCTCCTCTCCAGATGTTGGGCACTGAAAGTGAAAATTAACCCACAGCCATGTGGAATCCAGTGCCACCTGCTGCTCCAGTTCTTTGTGCTTGCTTACCTCATTTTTATTGTAATTCCAGCCCTTTGCAGATATGTCTTCCAGATAAATTGTTTGATAATCATTTAATGTTTTTTTCCTAATAGATTTTTATGCATTTCCTACCAAAAACACACTCACCCATGCACACACAGATCTCCAACTAGTTATTTTGTCCCTGTTTTGGTCTTACCCAAATGTTCACTTCTTGAGAGACTATTCCCTATAACACCCTCTTCTCTTTCTATTTTATTTTCTTCACAATTAAAAAATATATTGACCCTAATACTTCTTTTCTTTCAGGGACTTTTATTTATTTTTTCTTTCATAGCTCTAATTCCTGCATCTGTTACAGTATCTATGACAGTTTAATTATCAACTAAAACTCAAGGTATCAAATGATGAGAGAGTAAGTTAGTTTATAAGAGAAAAATCACAATTGATTTTTTTCAGTTTGCTTTAAGGATAAGTTTTGTAAGGATCTGGAGACTGTTCACTTGCAACTGGCATTTTTCTTTAGCTGCAGGCTATGGTACTCAGCAAAATGCACAATCAACCAGGATGACCTGACTCCTCCTTTTATGATCCAAGTGGTTTGGATAAAGTTATATGCTTGAATTTTCTTTTAAAGAATTATTCTATTTAACTGTATTTTTTTATTTTAATTTAACTATATATTTTTTTATTTTAATTTGACCAGAGAGGGACAGTGTGGGTGTGAGAGAGAGAGAGGGGGAAAAGTGAGAAAGCAAGCCACCAGGTCCAGGACTTGAACCATGGTCAGCCATGTGGGAGTCCAGTACCCTTAACCACCATGCCGCCTGCCAGCCCCACATGCTTAATTCTTAACAACTACGTATCTTAGTCTGAGAAACTTGACCTACCAACTTTAGAAGGCTGAGATACTTTAAAATGGTATATGGGAACAGATGGTAAGGTATAATAAATGAAATACATATGTAGTAAATGATACTCATACAATTTTATCTACAGAAGGAAAAATGACAGAATTCATTATGTGGCTCTACTTTGCAATGGGAAAGGAATGCTGAATTGCCTATCTTAAGACAAAAGAGAGAAAATAAGAAAATTTAGAAAAAAATCAATATCATCTGAGAAAAACAAAAGAAAAAAACAGATCTCTGAACATATTGTTAGATAAGATACCTCAAAATTAAGTTGTTCTTGTTGATTCTTGCTCTGTAATGGTTTCCATTTCTGGAAAATTCCAGAAGTCTCCTTCCTTGTTTTATGACTAGGAGGAAAGGGGAATTTTTTCAAATTAAAATTTCTTTTGCTATTTTCTGAAAATATAGAGTTCATAATGGATTAAAACAGGAAAGCAGCCATACAGACCAGTAATTCCCCTTCTGGGTATTTATCCAAAGGAGAGGAAAACACTGAATCAGAAAACAAAACAAAACAAAAACACAGGTACATCTGTTTATTGCAGCACTATTCACAATTGCCAAAACATTAAATCAACCCGAATGCCCAAGAATATGTGACTGGATTAAGAAAATGTGGCACATATGTACTGTGGAATACTACTCAGACATAAAAAATAATCAGACCCTGTCATTTGATACAAAGCATATAAATAAGGAAGATTTAATGCTAAGTGAAGCAAATTAGGCTATGAAAGACAGACATTGTATGTCCACACTCAATAAACATCAAATATCTGCACTTTACGGTATAAACTGAAAGATTGGAAAACATACTAGCAGGGAGAGCTACTGTAGATGCCAGAGACAGTAGATTGGAGAGGGTAATTGGAGGTGGAAGAGAGGGGATCAGGCATGAAAACAAAACAAAACATTTAGTGGACACTAGAGTGAAAAGTTAGTTGCTGATAAGTATATGGCAATATCACTAATTTGATACACACTGTATTCATGCTGGGAAAAAACATTTTGTACTCTATAAATACATATAAAGATTAAATATAATTTTTTTTTTTTGGAGAGATTTTCACTGTAGGGTGCGTGCGCTCGCCAGACAGAGAGAGACATAGAGACAGAAAGCGAGAAATCACCCCCCAGGGGGGATGGTCACGCCGCAATCCCTTCTCCTCCATTCTCCAGGTATAATAAATGAAATACATATGTAGTAAATGATACTCATACAATTTTATCTACAGAAGGAAAAATGACAGAATTCATTATGTGGCTCTACTTTGCAATGGGAAAGGAATGCTGAATTGCCTATCTTAAGACAAAAGAGAGAAAATAAGAAAATTTAGAAAAAAATCAATATCATCTGAGAAAAACAAAAGAAAAAAACAGATCTCTGAACATATTGTTAGATAAGATACCTCAAAATTAAGTTGTTCTTGTTGATTCTTGCTCTGTAATGGTTTCCATTTCTGGAAAATTCCAGAAGTCTCCTTCCTTGTTTTATGACTAGGAGGAAAGGGGAATTTTTTCAAATTAAAATTTCTTTTGCTATTTTCTGAAAATATAGAGTTCATAATGGATTAAAACAGGAAAGCAGCCATACAGTCCAGTAATTCCCCTTCTGGGTATTTATCCAAAGGAGAGGAAAACACTGAATCAGAAAACAAAACAAAACAAAAACACAGGTACATCTGTTTATTGCAGCACTATTCACAATTGCCAAAACATTAAATCAACCCGAATGCCCAAGAATATGTGACTGGATTAAGAAAATGTGGCACATATGTACTGTGGAATACTACTCAGACATAAAAAATAATCAGACCCTGTCATTTGATACAAAGCATATAAATAAGGAAGATTTAATGCTAAGTGAAGCAAATTAGGCTATGAAAGACAGACATTGTATGTCCACACTCAATAAACATCAAATATCTGCACTTTACGGTATAAACTGAAAGATTGGAAAACATACTAGCAGGGAGAGCTACTGTAGATGCCAGAGACAGTAGATTGGAGAGGGTAATTGGAGGTGGAAGAGAGGGGATCAGGCATGAAAACAAAACAAAACATTTAGTGGACACTAGAGTGAAAAGTTAGTTGCTGATAAGTATATGGCAATATCACTAATTTGATACACACTGTATTCATGCTGGGAAAAAACATTTTGTACTCTATAAATACATATAAAGATTAAATATAATTTTTTTTTTTTGGAGAGATTTTCACTGTAGGGTGCGTGCGCTCGCCAGACAGAGAGAGACATAGAGACAGAAAGCGAGAAATCACCCCCCAGGGGGGATGGTCACGCCGCAATCCCTTCTCCTCCATTCTCCTCTCGGGATCTTGGGCACGCACGCGTGCCCGGTGTGAGTTTTAAGCCACCGGGTCGGGGACACGAACCGCGGTCGACTATGTGGGAGTCCAGCGACATAGCCATTACGCTAACTGCTGGTTCCCAAGATTAAATATAAATTTGAAAATGCAAATATATATATTTATATCTATCTACCTATCTATCTATGTCTATCAACATCTATCTATCTATCCATCATCTGTCTACAGGGAGGGAGCTGAGACGGCAAGAATTAAATACTGGCCAAAGTTCAAAGGTCAGAACTCAGTATGAACTTAATACACTCAGGTTTTTGTATAATTCTGGAAATTAGTTTTAAGCTTATAATTGTAAATTAGTTTATAAGCCCATGACCTTGGCAAGTAAATGGTATTTTTAAAATTTTCTTATTGGTATAATGATGAACAGTTACAAATAAGGTTTAATGTATCTGTACTGTATTCCATAAGTTATGTATTATTCTATTTAATAATAGTCATCAGGATCAGCAGATGGCAAAATAGTTATGTTGCTAGACTCCCATGTAGTCGACTGTGTTTCAAGTCCTGGTCCCAGAAGTTTAAACTCACACTGGGCATATGTGCATGCATGCCCAAAAGCCCTAGAGGAGAATAGAAGGGAAGGGATTGCAGCATGACCATCCCCCCTGAGGAGTGATTTCTAAACTTTCTGTTTGTCTCTCTCTGTCTTTCTGGTGAGCACATGAACCAATTGGGAAAAATCTTTCTTAAAAAAATAATAATTATCCCCATGCACGTATCTACTTAAAGAATGGCTCATAATTGGATAAAAGTCTAAATTTTTGCCATATTTTTGCATTTTAAATTGTATGTATAATTACATTACTTGTGTACTCATGCAGTGGGCTGACACATTAACAAAACTATTTTGTTTTGCATTGCTTTAATTATGAAAAAATGTTTGCAAAATTATCATACTTACCACATTGGGGAAGAAGTTATTGAAACATAAAGAGGAACCAGACACAGAAGGATGCCTGGGTTCTAGTCCCAGCTCTGGCACACTATACTAGAAATTAGAGTGCATTTTCTAGTATTTATGATGAAGAGCTGGAACTAACATAGCCTTCACCCAGCTTTAGAGCCATCATCAGAGGCTGATTTTGGGGCAAATTCTCTTCTGTGGCTCCTGAGCCGGACTTACTGTATATGGACGATTTCTTATAACAATTACAAACTTATCTTAAGGGCCTCTTATTTATAAACTAGGGAAAATATCTGGACAGATTATAAGGATATGGTTATCAAAGGAACATTCTAGGGAATCCTGATAAGGTCATGGTTTACTGACGATGTTCTGACCCAGAAACCCATATGTTTACAGGACCTGTGATTACACTCCCACCTGGAATTCTGCCCCCCAGGGCATCATGACAGATTCCAACAACACCTACACTTCTTTCTTCCTCACAGGACTCCCAGGTCTGGAGGCCATGCACGCCTGGCTCTCCATCCCGCTTTGTGCCATGTATGTGGCTTCCCTGGCAGGCAACAGCCTGATCCTGTGGGTTGTGCACTCGGAGCCCTCGTTGCACCAGCCCATGTACTACTTCCTGTCCATGCTAGCGGTGACAGACCTGGGGCTGTCTGCCTCCACGTTGCCCACCATGCTCGCCATTTATGCCCTGGGACTCAGGGAGGTGGCGGTGGGTGCGTGCCTGGCACAGCTCTTCTTCATCCACACCTTCTCCATCATGGAGTCCTCTGTACTGCTGACCATGGCCTTGGACCGCTTCTTGGCCATCAGCAAACCCCTTCGCTATGGCGCCATCCTCACTAATCCCAGGATCGCCTGGTTGGGCTTGGCTATCCTAGTGCGCAGCATCAGCCTCCACGTCCCGGCCCCCATCATGCTGCAGCAGCTCCCGTTCTGCCAGAACCGCCTACTGTCCCACTCCTACTGCCTACACCCCGACGTCATGAAGCTGGCCTGTGCCGACACTCACATCAACAGTGCCTACGGCCTGTTCGTGGTTCTCTCCACGCTGGGGCTGGACTCGGTGCTCATCGTTCTCTCCTACGGGCTGATCCTCTATACCGTGCTGTCCATCGCCTCCAGGGCCGAGCGCCTCAAAGCCCTGAACACGTGTGTCTCCCACATCTGTTCTGTACTGCTCTTCTATACACCTATGATTGGCCTGTCCATGATCCACCGATTTGGGAAGTGGGCTTCCCCGTGTAGCCGTGTGCTGCTCTCCTATCTTCACTTTCTTACACCTCCTGTGCTCAATCCAGTCGTTTACACCATCAAGACCAAGCAGATCCGGCTAAGGATGCTCCGCCTTTTTCAAAAGCGTGGGACAGGTAGTAGTGACACCCAGGGTCATTAAATCTTTGATGAAGAGAAAAGGAAGGAGAGGCGTAGTCTTACTGCTGCTCTTTAATGAACTGCTGAACACATAGTGAGGAGAGGAATGTGAGAAAGGAAGGAAATCTGTCTTTACGTGTCTTCCACACGAAGTTTAAACAAGGAAAGAAATGAGCCACATCTTGGGACCAGTAAATGGCATAATGGTTAGGTCACTGTACTTCCAGTAGTCAACCCACAGTTGGAGTCTTAGACCAGGTAGCTTAAAACTCATGCTGGGGCATATGTGCATGCATGCCCAAAATCCCAACAGGAGAAGGGAGGAAAAGGGATTATGGCATGGCCATCCCCTGAGGGGTGACTTCTCCCTTTCTGTTTCTCTGTCTCTCTCTGTCTCTCCAGCAAGCACATGTGTCCTATAGCAAAAATCTCTCTCAAGAAATAAAAGAGCCACATTCCATTTTACTTGAGGTTTCCAGTAACAAAATTTAATGGAGCACCTGCCATGTGCAATATACTAGTGTAGCATCTGGAAATTAAAAAAAAAATACACACACACACACATATATATAGATATATAATTTTATATATCTCTCTATATATCAGCTTATATATATCAATTTGAATATATATATATATATATATATATATATGACACATTTTCTTTGGTGGAAGCACACATATCAATAAGGGAATTGCTATCCTAAATTGAAAATGTCTAAAAACAATTTAAAAATTTTATAAAACTAAACAAATCTATAAGGTGCTTTCTCTTAGAGCTTAACAAAGTGGCAATTTGGAATGTAGTAATATTGGAAGTATTTTGACAAATTCCTACTAAAATATTCATAATATCTATGTTATTTCTCTATTGTTCACTGTTGCATCTACTTCCTGACAGATAGCACTTCTCATATATTATGTATTAGATTTGTATTTGTCGGATAAAGGAATGAATGAATGAATGAATGAGTACACATTCGAAAAAATTTTCTGACAAGGGTAAAACATTTATTGAGACAATGAATGTAATTCCAGTTATGTAAGAGTCATGTCTTCGAGGACTTGTTAATTTTATTTTTAAGGCATCCCAAGATGTTGGCATTTTCTTCTCTTGATTAATAGAAATCTCCAAGATGATATGGTAATCCAATCTTAATTTGCTAGTTTTGTAGGCCAAAGTTTTCAATAATTTTTTAAAAAGTCACAAGAGTGAAACATTTTCTAGAAAATTTTCTTAAATGTAATCTTTTAGTCATGACAATAATCAATTACTCAACTGTAAATGAAAGATACTATGATATTTATTACAGTAATCCTAATGCCAAATGCAGTAGTTATTTATTTATATATACTTCATAAAACTTTCACTTTTGGTTTCTTCCCCTATATCAAATTATGAATAAAAGTAAATGGGGATACAAAGTAAAATAGAAGCTTCAAATTGATGGATAACATACATCATGGATTATAATTTTGAAAGAATAGCACATGTGAAAGAAGTAGTCAACAAAGCTGGGACTATAAAATCAATTAAAAAGCATCACACTCAGTCATTGAATGTGCCTGTTCCTACATTCTATCCCAATTAGGTTTATTTTCTTATGCCAAATCTCACATTTTACATTTACATTTTACCAGCACTGTATAAAGGACTGATAAGAAAATGATAAGTTCATGGGACCAGCAATTGGTGTAATGGCTATGTCTCTGGATTCCCATGTAGTCTACCACAGTTCAATTTCCAGGCTTGGTGACTTAAACTCACGCCGGGCGCATGTGCGTGAGTGCCCAAGATCCTGAGAGGAGAATGGAGGAGAAGGGATTGTGGCGTGGTCATCCCCCCGAGGGGTGATTTCTCACTTTCTCTCTCTCTGTCTTTCTGGCAAGCGCATGCACCCTATAGCAAAAAAACTCTCAAAAAAAAATAGAAAATGATAAGTTCAATTCTGCATATGTTTGATGTAAGATTTCTGTAAGTAATAAAACAGTTGACATAACAATTTACCTAGAATATATATATTGTAGAAACTCTAGAAAGAGTTGAGAGTTTCAAACATAGATTTGATGATGATTAGTACATAGATAATAATTAAAACAGATGCGATAAGGTTTTGACAAATTCAGCTCCTTCAAAAGTTGTCTCTGGGGCACCAGCAGTTGGCATAATGGCTATGTTGCTGGACTCCCACATAGTCGACCGCGGTTTGAGTCCCAGAACCGGTGGCTTAAACTCACTCTGGGCGCATGTGTGTGCATGCCCAAGATCCTGAAAGGAGAATGGAGGAGAAGGAATTGCGGCGTGGCCATCCCCCCGGAGGGGGGTGATTTCTCACTTTCTGTCTCTCTGTCTCTCTGTCTGGCAAGCACACGCGCCCTATAGCAAAAAACCTCTCAAAAAAAAAAAAGTTGTCTCTGTTAAGGAGAGGCTTTTGGGTATATTTCACAATGGCTACCCTTCTCTCCATTTGCCGCAGATGTGAGATTATTTTTCCCAGTTTCTCACCTATCATATATGTATGTTGAGGAACATATAGAGATACTGTGGATAACTTCAGAGTGAGGTCTATTACTTTAGAATTTTGGTTGCAATAAATACAAATACATTGTCGTTCAAACAAAATTAGGAAATAAATAGAAAATTAATTACATAAAAGTAGATCAACTGTGAAAGCTGAGAGCAGGGATACAACCTGACTTTCTGAGTAACACATGTTGAGCTAAGAAAGAAATCAGAAAGGAAGCCAAACCTTTACCCGCATCTCTCTCTCTCTCTCGCACACACACACACACACACACACACACACACACCTTTAGATCTGTAGATACACAAGGATACTAATTGGTGCCCAGTTATGTTAGAGCATTCCACCCACATTGGAGGAAGTCAGCTTTGACAAAAGTATGCTTGTGTATGAGAGGTTCTGACTGCCAGAATTGCTCTTTTCAATTGGTTAATTTTCTCATTGGGAAGGCAATTGAAAATTTTAGGAGGAATAAGTCATCCATGATCATCAAAATACATTTATAGGGGCTGGATGGTGCCTCAGCAATAAAAAGTGACACCACCCTGCAAGGCAATTCCATGTCGGGAGGTTCCAAGTTTACAGACAGAAAATCCCTAGCTGATGACATGGGAAATGGAAAATGGACCACTGAAGTTAAACTTGTTTAGAGAATCTCAAGAGAGATTTCATTCCAAAAAAGATATTCATACAGGACCAGCAGATGGCATAATGTTTACATCGCTGGATTCCCACATAGTCAACTGTGGTTCAAGTCCTGGCCCCAGCAGTTTATAACATACCAGGCATGGGTGCATGTGTGCCCAAAACCCAGAAAGGAGAAAGAAGGAGAGGGAATTGAAGCATGGCCATTCCCCCTTGAGAGTGATTTCTCAGTTTCGCACTTTCTGTCTCTGTTGAGCATACGTTCCCTATAGCAAAAATATCACTCTCAAGAAAATTTTAAAAAAAGAAAAAGATATTCATTTGACATTAAGTATGAAGTTTGAAACTTTTTTTAAAAGAGATTTTTGCAATAGGGCATGTGTGCTCACCAGAGATAAAGAGAGAGAGAGAGATAGAAAATGAGGAATCACCTCTCACAGGGGATAGCCACACCACAATCCCTTCTCCTCCATTCGGCTCTCAGGACTTTGGACACACACACACACACACACACCAGGTGTGAGTTTTAAGCTGCTAGGTCCAGGACTTGAACTGCAGTTGACTATGTGGGTGTCCAGCAACATAACCATTACACTCTCTGCTCATCCCTGAAGTTTGGAACTTTTTTAAATGGTACACAAGGTCTTTCTTACATCTCTATCATTTCTGCTCTAGATACTGAATTTCAGAAATATAAAAACACTTGTTGTCTTACAGTGTCTAATAAACATCTCTCTGGTTCTAACATTTGTGGTCTAATTTATCCTGACTCTTCCTGGAAGACTCTTTTCACACTAAAACTTTTGTTCTAATACACCGATCATAGGCTTTTGTCTCAGTATGAATTCTGTCTAGGAGGTCAGTTTTAAAGGCCAGAATAATCAGAGAATTCCTTCAAGAATCTGTTTTATTTTTCTTCATGTGTATATCTTAGTTTTGTCTCAGTCTAGATAATGCATTCCAAAACTAAAAAGCTTTACTTGGACAAGGGTCAAAGATTTCTCAATCACAAGGGAGTCTCCGTATAATTCATTGCCGAACTCATTTAGTAATGTCTTGACTTGACTTCAGGAGGGTACCTTCTGTCTTCCCCAAGGGAAGAATGTCCAGAGTATTGGCTAAGATGCTGTAAAATTAGTTCCAATCAAGAGCTCCCAAAATTGATCTCTTATAGGGCAGGGAACATATTTCCAGCTTTGGGATTCTTAAGGGTGATTTAATATTGTGGATATTGATAGGGAAATAAGAAATGACCATGTGTTTGAGGACAACAGCAGTAAGTTTTGTGGTGAAACCTTGATTATTAGTTCATTGGATGTCTAGAGAACCAAAATAGAATTTACTCAATAAGGCATCATCTAGGAGTCACAGGGAAGTATAGTACCCTTAACTATTTCCTAAATGTATTGGCAAAAGGGAGGACAATAGACTGCACAATTTGGAGAGAGGCTGAGACTCCCTGGCAAATCTCCTCTTCTAAAACCTTGACATAGATGTACTTGAATCTACGGTGACTTGATCCTCTGCCCCTCGAGCCAGCAAAGATTGAGGAAAATCAGTGGCAAAGAACGACATAAGAAAATCTGTTAAATGAAGTGAATCTAATAAAACAGTGTCTCTTTCCTCTTGAAGAAGGAAAAAAAAAAAACATAACAGGCAAGGTCTAAGTTAATAAACTCTCAAGGTTATTGAGATTGAGGTAAATTATTTTCAAATTATTTATTAACCTCAAAAATATATCTTGAATATCAAAATTATGATAATTTAAGACATAATTAAAGGATCATCTAAATTTTAAAAATTGGTTAAACTTTGTTATTAAAAATTAATTTTTTAATGTATATCACCACTA